CGATGATACGAGGGTGGCACACTCTCCTAACGGTTCTGATACCTGCCGCTGCGGCGGCCTTACTTGTTACACTTCAGCGCTTTTGCAGAGGCAACACTGAAAGCAAGGGTGAAAAGTTGTAAATTATTTTAGATGAGAGCATAAAAAGTCAAATTTCAAAGAAATAAGTTTTAGTGCAGAAAGGGAAAAAATGTGTCGTTTGAAACGGAAAACAAGTATTTTAAGTATACATAAAGTTTGAAAAGCGCTGTGTTTTGGCTTTTTTACTCTATTTGCACTAGCTCAGTTTTTTTGTTCGCCTACTCCAAAAAATTAGGCGATTGTGAAATATTAAGGACCCACCAATGACCAAATTAAGAACAGAAGTCTTTTTTTGACTCTTCGTTTCTTACTCTTTACCGCAATCACACTTATTCTCTTCATTCCTGTTTTGTAACACTCAATATTCAATAATCATTGCACTCTCTATTCAATTTTAAATTTACCCGCCTAACTTGCCACTTAAGTGCTCTCCGGTTCAGCGCCACTGGCAAAAGGGTAACTTACTTACCAATTCATTCCGCCTATTCACCATGTGGGTGTTATGCTTCATTGGTTCATTTGCCGAATTGAAATTTTTATTTAATGCCGTTCGATTTTGTGTTAAGGGTGTTCTTACGAATGTTGCTAGTAGGTACGTTTTTGTTTCGCTTATTTTGGGTAGTTAATTGATTGCTCCTTGTTTGAGTCGTTGCGGCGTCACATTAATTGCTGCTGCCGCTGTGTTTGCTTTTTTTTTTTTTGCTTTTCTTATTGCATGTTTATTGATTGCTTGATTGATTGACTAATTTAATTTTATTGTCGAGTGGCAAGTTAAATAAGCGAAACGGTCGATGGGAAAAGTAGGGTGGCGGCAGCTTTATTGAAAATAAGTAAATACGTTAGGGCTGCCATAATCCTGAACCCATCGACCATGACACCTATCATCCAAATTAAACACAAAGATACAAGTGAATATGGTGCCAATGTATTCCCTATAAGTGCAGTTTCTTCGGTTTTGGCGTTGCATTATTTTGAAGTAATTTCTGATATTAAAAGCAATGTAATTTTTAGGCACAATCCGTAGAGCTTATTACTTACACTGAGCCAAGAGTACAATAGTTTTTTCAACCTTGTTATTTTTTTATTTTCCATGGTAAATAATCCGATTGTAAGAAATTCGATTCAAGTTGAACATTTGAAAACACATTTGTATGTCTGGCTGTAGCTAAACGTGCAGAGATGCTTGCTGTTATTTGTTGGCTTACAACAGGATCGGGTTCGAATACCGTCAGAGGCAATGTGTAAAATTTTGTTTTTATTTTTTTCCTTTTTTTATATATGAAAATGTATCTGTGAAGTGCAGAACACCATCCAACGACGAAGAAAGTTTTTTCAAGTTCAACATTTGAAGGAACATTTGCAGAACGGCTGTGCCTGAGTTGCTGAGATGCAACGTGTTAAAATAAAATAAAAAATGGTTGTTTTGTATCTCCGAATTATGAAAAGGCATCTGTGAAGTGCAGAACATAAGCGTATTCAAATGCAAAAAATGACAACCAAAAATTTTTTTAATGTAAACAAAAGTGTGGTTAATCATTGTTGAAAATATCAACCATGACATTGTTAATATTATCCAAAAAGCATACTGATTCCTTTTCAAGTTTGAATTCGGTAATATTTCAACCAATTTTAGTTGATTTTTTTCCAAGTTTAGCATTACAAATAGAATTCAATAAGCATTTTAAGTCTCAATGAAACATCTTTGACACGAACCTTAAATAAATTGCCTAATGAAGTATGATCTTTATGAATTAAAAAAGCAGCTTTAAAGCCTTTCTTTGAGTAGCGAAAGCAGATGCCCTTCAATTTGTGCCACTCCATACAAAAACGGAAAGAGAAAGGAATGACTTTCAGACAGGTCTTTTGGAAGAGGTTTTAATTCCTGAGATTATCTACTTTGTATCTAATATGTGTGACCCCCTCAGCCGTGTTCAGGAACTTGCACTTTTTTGGCATTTGCCTGAATATAAAAAAAAACTAAATTTTAACCAAATAAACTAAACAGAAAGAAGGTAAACTCACCAGATATTGTTCAACATATTAGAAAAAACGTTTCGTTATTGATTTTCGACTAGTAATGATAGAAAGCTTAAACTTTTTTTTAAAGCAAAAATCTGCTAAAAATTAGATGGGTGTATGCATTGAATAATAATAATAATAGATTGTCGCAAACACATATGTTAGTGTTTGGCCGAGCTTCTCCTCCGATTTGTGGCGTGCGCCTTGATGTTGTCACACAAAGCGGAGGGACCTACAGTTTTACGCCGACGCCGAACGGCGATTGTATTTTTATGAGAAGCTGTTTTTCATGGCAGAAATACACTCGGAGGTTTGCCATTGCCTAGCGAGGGACGACCGCTGTTAAGAAAAAACCTTTTTTCTATATTTTTGCGATGTTGCTTTGACCAGGTTTTGAACCCAGGCATTGTGGAGTGGAAGTGAGCATTGCTTACCACTACACCACAGCGGTGTATGCATTGACCTTCATTAAAAAACCAAAACAATTTAAGTGTGGACCAGGACATTAGGACAATTTATCTAAATCTGTACAAATCCTGGAAAACTAGGACGTCTGACAGCCCTAAAATACGTGCACTTATGGGACTTCTTAATTGCTATTACTCTTACTAAAAGTTTATTTCTTTTTAATGAAAATTCGTATTGACGAATTTTAAAAAGTGGTGTGTTGATTCGCATGCTTATCGTGGTTTCTTCCCAACTGCTGCTTATATATATATATAACTACTTATATTTTAAGGGGTTAAGTTTTATTTCAGTCAAGCGCATATATTTTTGTGTATTTTAATTTCGTCTGAGATATACATGGTTTTGATGTGGCAAGCCCGTCGGTCTTGGTGCTGGTTCCAGCAAAAACGAAGATAAAAATCAGGTAACAGATGTCCAGGCTGCATTTTTGGTGTGGAGGTAACAGTTCTCAACGCCTTTGAATGACGACTCAGGTGCCACATTTGACGAAGATGAAGCCAAAACAATGTATAAGACCGCTAGACCAATACGAGACAGCAACAATAAAAACATTAAGTTTTGCCTCCAATTTGCGGTGCCTTTCTTGGCGTTGTCACACAAATGGAGGGACCTAAAATTTTGCACCGCTCCGCATAATTGATGGTTTTTTATGAGAATCTTTTTATGGTAGAAATATATCTGGGGTTCGCCAATGCCGGACGAGGGGGGGCGGGTGCTGGTAGAAAACACTTTTATCAGAATTTGTTGAATGTTGCGCAGAACAGGAAGTGAACCCAGGACCTCTCGAGTGGTAGAACGCAACGCTGACCAAGTGACCATGGCGGTAGAGAACAACAATATCGCGGTTAAAAAAATCAAAGACCCTAGAGCATCGGCTTTGGTCTGACGAAAATATGCTCGATGAATTGAACCGACTTTTGACAAGATTTGCATAGTACGTTAAATCAAAAGAAACCCTTGATATCTATTAAATGGTTAAATGAAAGTATCCAAAAATATGAACAGGATAATTCAGGCTAAAATAGTAAAACGTCTTTTGTAAGATAATTGAAACACAGATGGCAAGATAGTTCGAAAGACTTTTGTTTTTCTTGTGCAAAAGTCTTAGAAAAGAGCTGTCTCATTCACCATTCGTGGTGAAAAGCTTTTTTTAAGAGAAAGCACTTATTTATCATATAGATCGTGTCGCTCCAACAACCCCAATGGCCGAGTGAACAAAGCTCCGGTGTGCTTTTCGACAGATCCGGGTTCGAAACATCGTGCAGCGAATTTTTTTAGTATGTTTTTTTTTGTATATTTAATTATTTTGTTATTTAATTTAATTGTAAGGAATATATTTGGCGCAGTTTTTCTATTTGTTTTAAGATTTTGCTGTTTTAAACAGAAAAATATTTTTTTTCTTAGTTTTATTAAATTTTTAGAAACGCATTTTTTATGTTTAATGAAATATTTTTTACTTCGTCAATTAAAATTTCTTTTGGTTTTAGATTTTTTTTTTTTGAAAAGAACAATCTTTTTCTTGAATTTTATTTTTAGGGTCTAATTTCCTTTCTTTATTTAAATTTTTTGTCTTTTTTAATTTAATTTTCTTTTGTTTTTAGATTCGGTTTTAATATAATAATTTTTGTCTAACTTCATTTAATTTTTAAGAACTATTTTCTTTTTGCTTGATTTAATTCTTTCTTATTTAATTTTCATTTAGTTTTTATTTTTTTTTAGCTTTAAAAAGAAAGATATGTTTTTTGAATGTCATTTACGTTTTAAATTTTTTTTTGCTCTTGCTTTATTTTCGTTTTATTATTATTATTATTTTTTAAATTTTGTATTTCGACAGCCTGCGCTGCGTTGAAAGACGGTTGCCAGAATTGTCCTGTAAGTTTTCAAAAACTTCGTATGGGTTTCAGCTAATGACTATACAGATCATATCCCGCAATGCGTGGTCCATTATTTATTCCTTTTATATGACAAATATTTTTTGCCACAAATGTCTACTGGGTATATGTAAAACTAAGTTCTGGTCGAACTTACACACACTTGTATACCCGTACATACATTTCTTTCCTACTCTCTCGCGCATGGTTAGTTTACCTTTAGTAAACCCTTAATCACACCTGAAAGTACCTAAGTGGCAGAGGTAAAAGTTTGTAATGAAGTGGGTAAGCAAAAATAATTTAATATGCAGGAAATTGTTACGATTACAAAAGTTAACTGCTGCAGCTAGGCACAAAAGTTACAAGGTGTACGCACGACACATGAGAAAGACGGAGGAAATATGCATAGCGGAAACTCATATGCGCGGAATTTATGAGCGCGCAAACTTTTGCCTGAGCGAACGACGTAACGGTGCATGCGAAGTGAGCAAGTTGAAACTTACGCTTCCTTTAATTACATAAAATCACAAATCTTTATTATATTTTTAATAAAAAGCACTTATAAATTCACAAATTAAAATATTTCTTACTTATTTAGTACACATTCACTTAACACTAATGAGCGAATAGCGGCGGTCGGTCACTCCTGCCACGCGCACCTCTTTGCTTTGGTTTAAAACTGCACAGCACACATCAAAGTACATACTTTTTTCTTGCTTCTACCTCAAAGAGTTCTGCCAAATTCACTGCAATCGAATGTCCTCCTGAAATGTTATGTGCTCGCCGCGTTGCAGCGCATAGTTGGCTGCGTCGAGTTCGCTGCCCAGCATCTCACATAGCGCCGCTATGTAGGTCTGCGCCATTTGCAGCGTCTCATATTTGGACAGCTTCTGGTCAATGGTTGGAGCAGGCACCACCTCACGCAGCCGATCGAAGGCCTCATTTAGGCCATTCATACGCTTGCGCTCGCGGGCATTGGCAGCTTGGCGTCGGCGCTTAAGCACGCTAGGGCTGGGTGGCTTTGTGGTGGCGTCTGCTCTCTTCGAGCTTGAGTCCTTGCGCAGATGGGTTGCTGCACGTTTGTTACATTTGCCAGATTTTGCGGATATAGGTGAACCAGATTTACTGGGCGTCGTGCTTGCGGAGCACTCTCCGGCGGAGGCGGCAATACTGGCATTGAGTTGATGATGCAGCGACTGCTGTGGCGGGTTGAAGTTGTAGTTGGCAAAGAATTGATTCGCCTGTGTTATTGGTTGCAACGAACGATTTCCCGTGTAGCTTAATGCGGTGGCGGGCCAATCGTGCAGCAACAGGTGGTTTTCTTTGTGACTACCCACGTCCGCGTGGCTCTCGGTGCCAGTGCTGATGATGGAGAGCGTGTAGCTGGGACTGCTTGCGTATTGCTGCGAACCATCTTCCTCGGAGGAGGCATACGAGAAATCACTGAAGCGCGTTGGGAATGAATTAACGGAGTGCTGCTGGATTCGCTGCTCCAAATACTTTTGTTGTAGTTGCACAGCTTCGATGTTTAAGTTCATATTCTTCGAAAAGATCCTCACTTTACTGCGTGCTAACAAGAACTGTTTGCTCGTTGCAGCTACTGGCGAGTTTGAAGCGCTTAAGCGCCAGAATGCTAAGAATATGCCAGAAGGGCCAACTGTTCTACATTTCAACTGCTCCGGTGCTGAAGCGTCTTCTGCTGCTGTTGCTGCCATTTGGCCAACGAAGTCCCCATTGATGGTCTGCCAGTCGAATTTTGACCAACTGGCACGCGAGTGACACGAGCTACGAACGCGCGCGGCAGACATCCCTCATTGCGGTGGCGTTGACCATATGGTCGCAGCAAGGGAAGATTTCAAAGCAAAAACATCAGCCGCACTGTGGAAAAACAAAGCGGGGTAGAGAAATGAAAACAGAAAAAAAAATTATAGTCGGAATGTAAAACAGTTAATTTAAGGATCATCATTATTAACATATCAGTAGCGGCAGGATCAGTGCCGCACGTTGCCGCGTGTTGTTGTTGCATTCTTCCCCTTTCCCAACGCGTTACTCAGGGGTTGTCATGCACACATACACACTAACCCATATACTTAAACGCTCACTTCAACTTCATCAACTAACCTGCGCTGCGCTGTCGTGCTGCCTGCCTACACTACCTTCCCTTTGCGCTGCTTCTTCCTTCCCTAAATTGCCGCTATCATGGAGTGCGATCGTATAATTTGTGACTTTCACGGTTTATAGCACACGCAAGTCACTGCTGCGCTGCACCGCAGCCAACGAAAACATTGAGGCACTGAAAAGTTAGTTTCAAAACAACAAAAAGTGATATAAAAACAAGAAACAAGAATAAATGCTATTTTATGTCAGCGTTGGCTCTTCAGCCATATGTTATACTCAACGCGGCATATGCGTTACTTCAAGGCTCTCCTCAGGCACGCGCTGAAATTGCCGTTATCCTTACTGCATGCACACTTTGTTGACGCTGCTTCTAGGTAGGTACTGTGGTTAATGCATTTTTTGGCACCCTCTGGCAGCGTTGACCGTCGAGTCGTTTTATTTTGTGCTACATACTCTTACTAAAGGCACGCTCAACTTGCACTCTCGTTGCATACTCCGCAGTGTTAACTCTGTTTTGTTGTTGTTTTAGTGTTAGTCCTTTTAGATACTGGCGCTGCTGTTGTTTGTTTTTTATCTCTTGTGGCTTGTTTTGAAATTTTTTTTTGCGCAGACTTTTATTCTCCTTTAACTGCTTCGTTTTAGTCTTCACTGCGAGGAGTCAGAAAGTTATAATAAAACTCTGTGCGATGTACGGATATGACCTGTGAACTTGACAGTGAAAGTTTTGAATTTTCACTTAAGCATTAAGTTATACCCTTATAGGTATATTCTGTTAAGGCATTTTTAAGATTTGGTATTGGGTACCTATTATATACTTGCGGTGACCATATTTTCGAAATAACAATAGAGTACAAGTTTCCATTATGTATGTTACGAGCTTTATCGGAGCCATAATATTACAAAAAAGTAAGTGCGCCTGCGCCACACTGGATAAGTGAAACTTACGATACATATCCATTTAGTCTCATAACCAATATACATACATACTAGGGCTCGTAAAATTATCCGACTATTCGACTAATCGGTTAACCGAT